GAGGTTTGCGCTATAGGGTGCGTGTGCCCGCCAGAAAGAGAGAGACAGTGAGATAGAAAGTGAGAAATCACCCCCCAGGGTGGATGACCATGCCGCAATTCCTTCTCCTCTAGGGATCTTGGACATGCAAGCTCACGAGCCCGACGTGAGTTAAGCCGCCAGGTCCCGGATAGGAACTGCGGTCCACTGTCGACTACGTGGGAGTCCAGCGACATAGCCATTACGCTAATTGTGTTTTTCAAGCCTCTGTTACCAGGGTACAAACTGCAAGGTTAGCCATATGGGCTCCTCTCCACCCAAACACCTGGACAGAAAAGCAGGTGCGTTTGCAGGTGCGTGCTCTGCAGCCTGTTGGGCTGTCTGTCTATAGAGCACAGCGGCGGCAGTGGGGACAGCACTGCCCCGCCCCAGGGCAAGCTGGAAGCCCAGGAGCCAGGTATCACCGTGCTCTGTGCTACTGTGGGCCTAGAAGGGAAGTTGCCCAGGCTCCCTTGATATCACTTCAAATCATGTAACTGCACTGCCTCACATGAAATGTAAGATTTCATTACCAAAATTTTTAGCATATTTTTTTAAATTTGCTTTTGAAATTACTTGGCTACAACCAACTCACTAATCACAAATGACCAGAACTAGTGGGCCGTCATGAGGCATCTCTGGGCTTGCTGGTGAAAGTATGAAAATCTGCCCTACAAACTACACTAAGGGGTCAGCATATGACATGGTGCTTAAGGCACTGGACTCCCACAGGGCTAACCGCAGTTCAAGTCCCAGAACGGGGGCTTGCTTTCTCTTTCTCTCTCTGGTGAGCACATGTGCCCTATGGCAAATGAAAACAAACAAACAATAAATAAATAAAATTAAATAATTCTTTTAAAAATATTTTTAAAGTACCTACACTCAAGAGTTATGACATCCTCAAGGGTACTGAATCTAGGCATGATGAGGCTGGCACCCTAATACATACTGAGGTTTCTATTTAAACATTAATTTCACTCTTGCTTCTTTCTTCTTGTATTTTCCATTCTTAGGCTCCTGTCCCCGAATTGCTCCTAGGGGCCCTCGCCGCCCCTCCTCCTGCGCCCAACTCGCCTGAGTACAATTCCACGCAAAAGCTCCTTTGGGGAGAGCATTGCCGAAGCTCTCCTGCCCCACCTGCAGGCACCTTGGGGAAATCATAGAAGGAAGCTGTTCCGGAACTCCCCCGCAAGATCTCAAGGAGCAAGGATTTAATTTAAAACAACGTAAAGAAAAACAAATGGTTTAAAAAAAAGTTTTATGTACTCTTCAAAACGAGCCCTTTAGCCGTAATTTCACTACTGAAATCATGCGGAAGAACGCTCGACCCAGGCCCAGGCTGGGGTCCTGGTGCTGGTAGCTGCCCGGTCCTCGGTGGCCACAGGTGCGACGGAGCGGAGACGTTCGGATGAGCCCCGGGCGCCCAAGTGTCCAGCAGGCGGAGCTCCCGGCTCAGAGGCGGTGTCCTCCGCGCCCAGGCGGCCTCGCGCCCCTCGGCTCCGTTGTTCTTAAGGCTGGGCGGAGCCTTCGTTATGTAACTGCAAACTCCTTTGTCTTCTTAGACCTAGCGGGTGGATTATCTGTACTTGACACCAAATTCAGCCCCGGAGCTAGGAGGCCCGCGCCGCCAAAGACCTGCGGGAGCCCAGCCAGAGGCGCCGTCCCGCACCCTCCCTAGCGCCCTTCTGCTACTTCGAGGTTCCCCCTCCCCGCCTGGCTGCGATGCAATGGTCCGGAAGGCGCTGACGCGCCAACCCGAGCGAGCGATGTAGAGCAACGGCCGGGGCCCCTGAGGGTTCAGGGACGCCTTGGGCACTGAGGACAGGGCCCCGCGGAGCGTCTAAGAGTACGCCGCCGGCTTCCGGTGCGACACTTCCGGCCTTCTCCACCCGGGCCTCCAGGACCCCAAGGAGGAACATGTCCCTTCTCTGCCCACAGCTCAGAACCTCGCAGACGTACGATTTATAGAGCCCCAGGGGCTGGTCCGGGCAGACTCAGGGCCCCCAGCCTCTTGGCTGGTGGTGGAAGCTGGCTGCCCCGTGTGAATCAGCTTCCGCGGCGGGAGCGTATCTGAGAAAGACCCACGCGGACCACAGATGGCAGGCAGCGGGCCACCTTAAATGTCGCACCCCCTTAAGGCCCGCACCGCCCCTTCCCACTTGCGGAGGGGGGGCCCGCGCCTT